ACAAATCCTCCTGATTGCAAGGATCAACAAATTCGAACAGATGCGCTGGTCCCTAAGGACTCAGTTGCCATCTGGACTGGGTCTAGCAGAACCGTGCACTTCAAGATTCCTCAACGATCTGAATTTCTCATTGGAAAGTGTTTGTAGTGTGGGCTTGAGTAGTTTGGACTTCGTTTTTTGTAGTTAGCAGGTGATTGTGATGCAGTTAGTGATCTCATCTCATTGCGTCACAAAGAGTTGTGACGTAGTTGCTATTTGTTGGATTTGCACGTTTTGAGATATTCCACACGAGAACAACTTGCACGAAACCAGTTTTTTTTGGACCGGCGCCCTGTGCCTTTCGGCGGGTCGCGGTGTATTGAGACTTGCTCGTTTACCACGTCACGATCGCAACCCCGTACCCGGGGAAATCGATCCGCGGCTAGCTGTCTATGCACGGTCTGAGACGGGCATTATACCACTACTCGACGAGATCGCCTACAACTTGCACGAAACCAGTGGAGAGTTTTTAGGAACCGAGAAACCTGTTTTGCACGTTTCTAGACTGGTACAGTAGAGTTGCTCTGAACTAGATTTGGACGTCCCTCAGTGAACTGAAACCCGCAAGCTGCTGGATTATCGGAAGTGTACGGTGGTGTTTGATTCTTCCCAACAGCTCTCGGGTGTCCTTGCTCACCCCTGCTGATGTGCCAGTGCGGCACCACAACTGGCGCAGCTTTCTGGAACCTTCCACGAGTTGCAGCTGGGGGTTCTCTGGAGTTCTTGAGCCTAAGTGTCAAGGTTTGACAAAGGCGGCTGTGAAAATTTCCCTCTTGGAGTGTCTTTTCTGCATTGGGAGAAGTGAATTTGCTTTTCACCTTGATGGTGAGCTCAACCGTGATGGTTGACATCGTTTTTGCATGCCCCGTATGATGCAGCTTTTACTAGAGATGGCGAAACCTTACAAGGATATGTTTTTCATCTCCTTTGTCTCCTTTGACTGCACGGAGAACACAGTGAGGCTTTGAATCCGTAGAAGGAAATGGGAAATCGATATATATTTTCCACATCCTTCACTTTAGTTTCGTCGACGGAAACGGAAGAAGAGTACGAAGAATTAGTTCGTCGAATTCAGCTTTGTGACTTCGGAGGAAGAAGAAGAATTCATTTGTCAAGTATGAGAGGAACACAGTTTGAACTTGCACGAGTCTGATATGTCTCTCAATGATGAAAGAGTGCAACGTTCTGAGGAATTCAGAACTGGAGTTGCCAACAAATCTGAGGGAGACATCATGGATACGTTTGCAGAATTTATTTAAAAACCGAAGACAACACGTTTTTGGTGAGAACGTTGGTGTTTGAAATGATTCCACGTTTTTCAAACACTCAAACAACTTATTTAAACAAACCATGTCATGATGTAAAGACTTTTTGTGACGACATGTGTTTTTTGATCGTTTTTTTGTGAAGTTGACAGAAAGATGTCAACATGCGACTCCGCATCGTCAACAAGGAACATAGTGACAAGAGCAGAGACATCGTCTTGTTTGCGTGTGTGCGGTAAAAGTGGCTGAGCTCTGGGATCGACTGACTTAGTTTGCGTGGACGGTCTTTTGTTTCTTAACGACGTGGACGCTGACCCAGGTAGGTCTAGAGGTTTCGAAGGTAAGTGAACCTTCCGCATGGTAGCGGAGCTGCCTGCTTGCAACTCGTAGAGGCGTAGTAGGAATGGATCGAGGGAGCCAAGGTGTGCAAGGTTGTCCTAGTCCTGATATGGGTGAATAGATGAGGGAAATTGCGAGCACGGCAAACCTGGATGCAGGTGGTCAAGGTTGTCAGCAGGGATGTCAGCAAGGAAACATGCCCGTAATGCAAGGAGTGCAACAAGGACCAGCATGGTTTGGTGCGCAATGGATTCCCCAGCAAACGTTTATGCAGCAGACAACACAAGCGCGTGTACCGAGTTTTGGTTGCGCGAGTATGCCTGGTGGACCAAGGTCTTGTGGTTTTCCAAACTTAGGAGTGAACCCGATGAATTACCAAGGGAACATGCCGAGTGGCCCGGTTGGAGCGACTTTGGGAGGTTTGACACCTCAAGCAGCGCAGATCCAAGAGGTCATCGCCATGTTAGGTAATCTGAATGAAGGACAGTTGCAGGCAGCGCAACAGCATATGCAAGATCGTTTTGTGACTATGCAGCAAAGAAGAGGGGTTCCAGAAGTGTTTGGTGATGGTCTTGATAGGGCAGCTGATTCGTCGTTTGTGACTCCGCAGCCATTTGATGTTTTGCCTAGTTTTGGTGTTCAACAGTCAAACAACCATGGAAACCAGCAACAACTTGACGTTTTTGCAAAGAGTGAGAAGTGGCTCACCCCAGCACCGACTCCAGTAAGTACGTGGAAGACTAGAGAAGAGGAAGTCTTAGGATGGGCTGGCTATTTGGATGAGTTGTCATCCTGGGCAGCTGGTGGTAGTTTAGAGTTTTCAGTGGAAATCCAGCACAGTAGGAGATGGCCAGGACCTATCAGATGGAGTGCTTTGAGTTCAGTACAGCAGGCAAGGTCTAGGAGGTTGATGTCCATTTTGAAAGCAGCGTTTCACGACAACCCACGTTGTGTGGCATTGGTGAACGCATTCAGTGAGGGAGTAGCTTTGCATGCTGTAGGATCAGGTGATAGGATGTCAGTTGCAGTGAACCAACAGTCAAATGGGTAGGTCACGGTCGGAGGCCCTGTCACTTAGGACCCAGATCGCAGGAAGGTCGTTTGTTTTGGCTGCAGCTCAGACATCTCCAAGTTCTCTGGTGAGTGACGTCATCAGGAAGATCGACTACGAGGCAGCAAGGTTCTCACGACTATTGGGAACACTTCCCATGCACGTGGACACCACAGGACTGAAGCTTGCAGACTCAGACATTTTAGTTGTTCTGTTGAAAAGCCTGCCAGAAGCTGTAAAGAACTATGTCCTCCACCATAGCAGTGCAGACACCTATGAGTCGTATAGAAATGCAGCTATGAGGTGGGAGGAACAGCACAGGTTGTTCAATGACTTCGAGGTGAGTGGAAAGAAGGTGAACGCTCTGGAGAGCAGTTCAAGCGGGAATACAGAGTATTATTCCCTAGAAGAATGGGCGTCGACACGGTAGCTGAGGGCCGATGTGCCAGGTGCGGTAGCAGAAGGCACGGCACAGGATCCTGCACTGTGGACGTCAGTAAGGTGAAATGCTTTCGTTGTGGGAAAGCAGGACATGTCAGTTGCAAGTGTCCTACTCGCCCGGAAACTGGGAAAGGAAAGGGCGGTGAGAAAGGAAAATCGGGACATGTGAAGTCCGACATGTGGGACAAGAAAGGTTCCAAAGGCGTAAAAGGCTCTGGTTGTTGGTTGTTGGTTGTTGTTGGTTGTTGGTTGTTGTTGGTTGTTGGTTGTTGGTTGTTGGTTGTTGGTTGTTGTGTTGTTGGTTGTTGGTTGTTGGTTGTTGTGTTGTTGGTTGTTGGTTGTTGGTTGTGGGCTGTTGGTTGTGGTTGTTGTGGTTGTTGTGGTTGTTGTGGTTGTTGTGGTTGTTGTTGTTGTTGTCGTCGTTGTTGTCGTCGTTGTGTTGTTGTTGTTGTTGTTGTTGTTGTTGTTGTTGTTGTTGTTGTTGTTGTTGTTGTTGTCGTCGTTGTTGTGGTTGTTGTTGTTGTTGTGGTTGTTGTTGTTGTTGTGGTTGTTGTTGTTGTTGTTGTTGTTGGTTGTTGTTGTTGTTGTTGTTGTTGGTTGTTGGTCGTTGGTCGTTGGTTGTTGGTTGCTGTTGTTGTTGTTGTGGTTGTTGGTTGTTGTTGTTGTTGTGGTTGTTGTGGTTGTTGTTGTTGTTGTTGTTGTTGTTGTTGGTTGCTGTTGTTGTTGTTGTTGTTGCTGTTGTTGTTGTTGTTGTTGGTTGTTGTTGGTTGTTGTTGGTTGTTGGTTTTTGGTTGTTGGTTGTTGGTTGTTGGTTGGTGTTGGTGTTGGTGTTGTCGGTGTTGTTGTTGTTGCTGCTGTTGTTGTTGTTGTTGTTGTTGTTGGTGTTGGTGTTGTTGGTAGTGGTGGTGGTGGTGATGTTGGTGGTGGTGGTGGTGGTGGAAGTGGGGGTGGTGTTGTATTATTAGCCTTGTGGTAGTCAAATATGCAGGGTTTGTTGTGTTGTTCTGTCGAATTTCGCTTGAAAAACACAACCCGTTTCATCTTTTTTTCATTTTACTTCGAAACCATTTGTCCAACCTTGCATCTTGCGGCAGAGTGCGATTTAACATTCATGTTGTTATTGGTTTTGTTCGCCACTTGAATTGGAAACCAACAAATATTGGATTGTTTTTTTACTTGATTGTCAGCCATGTAGGGTCGGTGCTCTAAGGGGTTGGTGGGTTGTTAGTTGCATCGAATTGCCACTTGCATCCATCCTCCATACGTTCGAAGGGATTGAATCGTAAATGGAGTGTGGTGATCGGTCCGCAGAAAATGCCAGTGAATGGGCATCATAACACATTTTTTTAAATATACATATGTATATAAAAATGTGCAGGCAACTGATTGAATTATGTTTTTTATTGCTGGAAAAAATCAACAAAATTACATGTCAGTATTTGAAAACAAAGGGACACAATGAGGTTGGTTTGGAGATTTGTGATGAAAAGGAGTGTTTTTTTTGGTGGTTTTGAACAAAAACGCATTATTTTTCCATGAAACACAATCCGTGCCAAAAAATGCATTTTGGTAGTGGCATGGGTAGTGCAACGGCAACATTTTCAAAAAAGGACATGTCATATTGAATCATTTCGGGTTTGCCCTGTTTTTAAGCGTTCAGCCCATGTATTTGTCATGATCGTTCAGTTGCGTTGGATTTGGTGAACCAAAATACTTCTTCATTCGGACTGCACATTGCAACGTATTTTTCCAGCGTTGGAAAAAAAATTCGGGTCAAAACATGCGCCTATCTTTCCAACATAGTTTCCAGACATCTAATGAAATCATGCGTGCGAAGAGCCAGGATTTGCTGGTTTTCATTGAAACCAAAACTTGCAGCCGCGAGTCACACAGGGAATGGGTCGAACAATTCCAACATGGCGCATCGTGGAAATGCGCAGGCTTCAATGTGGGCAATTTGTGCAGTTCACGTTTCTTCTAGAAACACTTTGAATAGGTTACCGACTTGCAGCACGCTCTTCCTGTATGGCGTGGAACTCAATTTACAATGTGCTAGGAACTGCCAGGAAGGTTCTTGAGCAGTGGGTATTTCATTTGGAGGTTTCCGTAGTCATGGGGGTACCCCCAGTTATCATCCATTTCTACATAAATTTTCCATTACCATCCAGCTATTGGGGTAATTACTCCCATTTCTGGTGAAACCCCCATGTGTCCAAACGAGGTGTGCTCGCCAAGCCTGACACCCAGACTTCGTCCTTTGGTGCACATGGCATTCCTGGTCGCCATCCGTTGCCCAGATTTTGAACCCCCAGTATGGGCCAAAGTGTAGCCCTTGGTCTTCACGCTGGATCTGGCAAATGGATGTTCTGCCACTGAGGAGCCGGCGCCGTTTCTTGGACGGGAGTCATTTTTTTTGGGGTTACCCAAATTTGATGGATTATCATGGTCATCACCCGTTCAAAGGGGCAAATTTTGGGTCTCCACTTCGGGAAAAAATCATATTACCCTGTGGTAAACTACCATAACTATGGACAATCACCATTTTCAATGGGTAAATCCACTATTTCAATGGCCATTTTCAATAGCTATGTCAGCCATTACCAGAGGGTATCAAGTATTATCATATGATGAGATTCCTTGAGTCCAAGATGTGCCAAACGTCCAGGGCCTTGGCAGAAGCCGAAGAACGGCTGAAAGGCAGACCGTTTTTTCGGCAGTGCCATGGTCATGGCAGGGGATATGTCAATTTGTACAACTGGGTGTGGCACTTGATGTCTGTTTCTTGAGCGTGGTGAGGTGGACATGCACATTGGATCCAGACTTGCAATTTTGTTTTTTTGGAAAATCACGATAATTTTACACAGTTTTCCCATAGTTTTCCCGTAGTTCCTGTGTGCAAAAACCATGGACTGGCGCCAGGGGCTCTGGCCGCACTCGCTACTTTGAAGGCGACGCCACGGAGCGGTCCACGGAGCTTCAGCCGCTAATCTCAATGGACCTTTGGAATCCAACAACTGCAGGGGGTATATATAGGTTATATATAGGTTATATAGGTTATATAGTACAGAAAGGATAGTTGGATAGTATTTATAACTGAAAAACACGTTTCTGATCATAGTAAGCCTCATGCCATAAACCCCAATTTGCCAAGGGGGGGTATAGCGGTAAAGCCAATTTCCTGAACCCAATGGGATTGGAGATGACTATGGCAGCCAGGGTTTGAGTCGTAAGCTCAACTGCACAACGCCCAGGAGAGTCTCCGTGGAGAAGTCCAGAGGCTGCACTTCAGGAACGAGATGAAATGAACGAGATGTCGAAGTACACGTGTGGGTCAAACTCAAACCATCATCACTGTCAGTGTCTTCAGATGGTTAAAACCCACTACATTATGTTTAAAACCCACTGGGTTCGAAACGAGATGGGGCCGGGAATCGAGATGCAACTTATCGAACTTGAAGATGGAGAAAGGACAAAAACGAGACGTGCGGCGTCAGAAATCGATGGTCAGTGATCAAAACATCTGTCGTTGTCTCTGCAGGATGATCACGTGGAGACACCGACCAGAAGGTACAGTCACCATGCCGTCTCGCACTTGGTGAGACGATGGAATGTTCACAACTTCGCCAGGTGGCAACGATCAAAGCTGAGAGTTGGCCATGGGCGAGGAACGCCAGACACGTTCCGACCCTGGGTGATCTAACTACTTTTGTGAATCCAACGTTTGGGTTATTGCATTTCTTTCGCTTGGTGACCATGCCCCCCAAAGTCTTGTGACAACTGTTGCACTCATGGACCTTCATGTCGATTTGCGGCTGCTGCTGCGGCGGCCAGGATCGTTTTTGGTCTTTGTTGTTGTTGTTGTTGTTGTTGTTGCTGTTGCTTTGCTGTTGCTGTTGGTTGTTGTTGTTGTTGTTTTTTTTTTTGTTTTTTTTTTGTTGTTGTTGTTGTTGTTGTTGTTGTTGTTGTTGTTGTTGTTGTTGTTGTTGTTGTTGTTGTGTTTTGTTGTTGTTGTTGTTGTTGTTGTTGTTGTTGTTGTTGTTGTTGTTGTTGTTGTTGTTGTTGTTGTTGTTGTTGTTGTTTTGTTGTTTTTGTTGTTGGTGTCTATGATGATGATGATGATGATGATGACGACGACGACGACGACGATGATGATGATGATGATGAGGACGAGGACGATGATGACGACGATGATGACGATGACGACGAGGATGATGATGCTGATGGTGGTAGTGGCCGCGGCCATTTTGATGTTGTTTGTGGTTTCTCATTTTGAAGACCTCTCTCTCTCTCTCTCTTTCCTGGCCAACGTTGTTTTGCTATGGTGCCGCATTTGCCCTGACTGGGAACACGAGGCTACGGGCAGTCACCCCCAGCACTCCTAGCGCCAAGAAACTGTCGTGGACAGATTCAACGCCAATGAAGCTGACACGCCTCCAGTCTGAGGCGGGTGGTTTCAAGCCTTGCAGCCTGGTTTCCAGACCCATTTTCTGCCATTTGTTTGGAAGAACATTTTCCATGCCAGGTTTCTATAGGTTTCCCAGTGTCTCAACCAGCTTGAACCAGTCATATTTCACTCGTTTCACCCATGGCTCCCCAACGGTTCCCGGAGCGTGGCGTTTTGCAGGAGTTGGCCGCGGCTTTTCGGGCCCTCGATGATTTGGCCTCGGCCGCCGATGCCACGGGAAGAGCTTGGCCGGTGGATCAGCCCAGCAGCTGGATCCATGGAAAGAAAACCATGTTTGGTATTGTTTGGTATTGTTTTGTTCTCCAGGTCAACCTTGGGTGAAACGTTGAGTTTTTCCCAAGTGAGTTGCTAAAGACTGTATTCCATGAAGATCCGATTTCACACTCTGATTGTCCCATGTCTTCGATGATGCCTGGTTTGCAGCCGGAAACTGTGCAGCAAGGTGTGCAAAGACTTAGCCACCAATCTTAGAAGCCAAGCAGTTGCCAAACTTGTACAGCTGCCCATGCCTCGGCGCAGTGGTTCCACCACATGGTGGATCTAAGAACAACGGTGGATTTCAATGGAATTCACCACGGCTTGCTTTGAACCAGCAATCATGTTTTTGTTGGCCAACATCCCCATTTCTCACCCACAGTTCGCCTACATGATTGAGGCAACAGCAAAAAGAGGCGCATTTCCTGGGACCAATGGGTTCTAGTGATTCTAGTGGCCTAAAGTTACGGTTCAGGCAGAGGGTCTCATAGCAGAACGAGTGTTGGTTGGAAGTTGGAACAGTTTTTTTTTCTCATAACCTTCCTGATCCTTCCTGCACCATCAATTGTAGATATCAAATCATATGAATCAGATGTGCCGTTGTCAAGAGTTGGATTGTTTTCCCATATTGGGGAATGGTCATCAATTCATCAATGGGTATATATATAATAATATATATATATAATCATGTATATATATATATATAATCATACATATATAATCATATATATATATAATTATATATATATAATGATACATACACATTATGTTTGGATTCTCATTGTGGGATGACCATAGACGAAAGCCCCGGAAAAATCCCACACATCTGCATCTCCAGTTGTACCTCTGTAGGACGGTGTCCTGTGCTCCAAAGTCGTGGCGCAGGCCAGGCTCTGAAAACCGCGTCGCGTGCCGCAAGCGCGTTGAAGTGCCGTGACATGAAAAAACATTTGGGACCACCAGGTGAAGGCAGATGCAGCCAGGGACTTGGGAAACGATAGCCGATGAAAGCCATGTGGCATGAAACAGGTCCATCACTTTCACATGAAAGGCGGAGTGATGTCTATGTCTCCTATGTCTCATACCATGGGATGGTTTCTGCAAACACAATTCTCAGATGATTGCAACGGCGTTCCAAGGACCCCCGATGGGACCCCCGGGACCCCCATTCCCATAATCTTCCCATCGTATGGGAGCAATATGGGAATGGGGCTCCCGTCAGGTCCATTTTCTATTCCAGAAAAACCAGTCAAATTCCACTAAATCTATCTAAATCTCCACTAAGAATCTATGATCTCCACTATGGTCATCTATGGTCAGAAATGATTTTCCTCCGGAAATCTCTCGAAAAAAAATCGCCTTCGGTCGGCGTCCGGTGACCCAGGTGGAAGGTCTGAAGTCTTTGGAGTCCCTGGGCGAAGGCGAAGCACAGCGCAGTGATAAAAAGCCTCAGGAGATGGGTGGATCGGAAGGGATAGACCCACCTTTTATTATAAAATATATTAGCATCGGATTTTATTGATAATATGAATATATTTATATAAGTATATCTACTCTATATATATATATATATTCATAACAATCATCCTGAAATCGTTCAAATCGTCGAGATCCGTGGCAGGAGTTGCGTCGTGTCCTGGGCTCCGTGGCTCGAGACATGGAAGACACCTTGCAGGGGTTGCGATCCAAGAGGCGTGCTGATTTTTTTTGTTGGAAGATATGGAGGATTTCAAGGGACATGCGTAGATATGCAAGATTCAAAGAATATCATAATTTGCGTTTGAAAATGGGGTATGGCTAGCGCCAAAGTGCTACTTTAGTAGGCAAAATGAGGTTATAACCATCGATTTGGGAATATTTTCAGACAAATCCAGAATATTTGGTTGATTTCACCAACAAACTTGATGTGGAGATGGAGTTCCAGAGTCGAGGGCCTGACTTGGAAAGGGGTACAGCCAGCCCCTTGGGTTTGTCTGAAGAGAGGAGATGTGCGTATATATATATATATATATATGTATATATATATATATACACATGATTTTAATATATACCTTAGGATAAACTTTTATTTATAGATGTGGAAAACCCATGGTCTCCCGTCCGGAAAATCGTCTACATATGTTTTTTTTTTTTTTTCACATCTATGTTAATTTACGTCAGGGTATATATATATAAATAGATTTATAGTTACCAGTAGTACCGCACAAGGCGGTGGCGGAAGTTTCAAACATAGGAAACCTATAGGAGAGGTTGGTTGTTGTGAATCACGGATGGCAGAGCGAGTCCACTGATGGACCGAAAGGTGGTTGAAGTTGTGTTTTTTGGAGTGGTTGCAATGGTTGTAGTGGTCAACTCACCCACAACTGCTGGATGTAGTGTGGTGTAGTCAGCTGTAGTTGTAGTTGTAGTGTGGTGTAGTTGCAGTTGTAGTTGTGGTGTGGTGTAATCAGTGTAGTGTATTGTAGTGTACTGTAGTAATGTAGTGTAGTCTAGTGTAGTGTAAGGTAGTGTACTTGTAGTTGCAGTGTGGTGTAGTGTAATTAGTGTAGCATCGTGTAGTGCAATGTAGTGGTAGTTACACTTGTAGTTGCAGCTGCAGTTGTAGTTGTAGTTGTGGCGTAATGTAATGTAATTAGAGTGAGTAGTGTACTGTAGTGTTGTGTAATGTAGTGTAGTTGTAGTTGCATTTGTATTTGTAGTTGTAGTGTGCTGCAGTGTAATTAGTGCAGTGTAGTGTAATGTGGTGTAGTTGATATTGTTGTTGAAGCTGTGGTGGTGGTAGTAGTAGTAGTGGTGGTAGTAGTAGTAGTAGTAGTAGCAGTAGTAGTAGTAGTAGCAGCAGCAGCAGTAGTTGTAGTTGTAGTTGTAGTGTAATTAGTGTAGTGTAGCGTAATTAGATGCAATTAGTGTAGTGTAGTGTAATTAGTGTAGTATAATGTAGCGTAGTTGATTTGTGCCTGTAGTTGTAGTAGTAGTGTAGTGTAGTGGTAGTTGTCGTTGTAGTTGTCTATCTATCTATATATCTGTCTATCTGCAATCTGCAAGCTTGAAAACGAAGCAGTTCTGCGAGACTTCCTTAGTTTTTGAACTTGACAACGTCAAAAACGAAACAATTCCGGAGACTTCCAAAATTTTTGAAGTTGGCAACATCAAAAACGAAGCTATTCTGCGAGACCTCAATTTTTGAACTTGACAACCTCCAAAACGAAGCAATTCTGCGAGACTTCCTTCAAAAATGGAAAGTTGAGTGCAGAGCTGACGGCCTGGTACCAATGCGATTTGCAATTTTTCCTGCCCATGTCTCTGAAGTATTGCGCCTGCCACGAAAAAGTGATGCCAGGTCATACGAAGTGCTGCGCCTCTCCTGTCACGCAAAATCATCTTAGCAAACCTGAAGATCTGATGCTCCAAAATGCAGCCATTCTCCGGAAATCAGCGCCCTGACCTCCTAACATCTCTGATGAACATGTCTTTTGTACTGCGCCTGCCACGCGAAATGCATCTTTGCAGATTCTCTTCAAATGTCCCACGCCTGCCATCGTTTTTGGAAATGCTACAAAACCCTCACGTTTTGCTCACTTTTGACAAGGTGCACAGTCCCTTGCGCCGGCCACGCAAAACCACATCTGAACGTCCAAAAGTGCTCCGAACCCGTCAGTTTTTAACACTTTTGACTTCGAAATGTGCTTCGCGCAGCAGCAGCGTGTACTTTTTCGACATCTCAACTTCCAAAAGTGCTCCGAGCATGGTGTGCTTTGTACATTTTGACTTGCACATGTGCTCCGCGCCACAACTCACAACTTCCAAAAGTGCTCCCACCCTGGTGTGTTTTGTACATTTGACTTGGACTTGTGCTTCGCGCCAGAACGGTGTGCACTTTTTGGACATCACAACTTCCAAAAATGCTCCCGCCCTGGTGTGTTTTGTACGTTTTGACGGTGTGCAATTTTTCATCTCTCATCTGGCCACATGGCTTCGCACCCGCCACTTTAGCGAGCCTACTTTTCGACCTTCCGGAGCCACAAATCATTGGAAAAACACAGTGAATCGCGACTTTCCTACCTTTTTCGCGCACCTGCATCTTCTTTCTTCTCACTCTTTCTCTGATCTTCTCGCTTCTGCTCTTCCCACCTCTCCTTTTCCATCTGTCCATATTGTCGAAAGTTTGACTTCCAAACTTCGTTCGATAATTATAGTTATACATACAATTCTATATATGATGATGTGTATATACATGCCTATAGATATATAGATATATAAATGCTCCTGTGAAGTTCCTCATCATTTTCCCTATTCTTTGATCGCCGTCCCTCCGGAGGAACGCCTGGACTGACATCAAGTGAGGAGCGTGGGAAAAGAACACCAGCAGCTTCGACGGACCCCATATGTTTGTAGCCTTATGATGGAGAGAATATGGGGCATATTTTTATATTATAGAAGTTATAATATGTGTATGTATATATGTATATACATATGAGAATGCAGATATTACTATACCATCTAATACACACCTACAGCAGCATACACTCATGATATAATAATATAAGACAATCTATGTCCAAACATTAGGTCCCATCTGTGGCACACGAGAAGACCACGGATGTGCAAAGCTGCTGCAAGTTGATCCATTCGTTCTTGCCAGACACCTTTTGGCTTAGCCGGACAAACCCTTCCGCTTATCGAGACTCTCCATGTTCCGAGGCTGGGATTGGCTGCGAGGGGGCACTGTTCGGAAAAGAATCCCAGTTGCCACATCTTTTTCTTCCCAAGGTGCCAATGAGGACCAATTTAGATGAAATTTATGAAATACACTGGGAAAAATTGCGCTATCTGAGACTTCAATGATCATCCCAAGGTCCCAAGGGGTCCCAAAGGAACCGCTTCATCGGTACCAGGTGCCATTACAGCGTGGCTGTTTCTTTCTCAGGACCGGTGCTGCCCAGGAGTTTGGTCGTCGGTAATTTGCCAAGTTACTACTGTAAGTATCTTCATGGAGAACTATTTGTAGTTGACTATCGGAAACAGATCATTCTACATGCTTGTTCACACCTTGGTAGCAACAGAGTTTGGGTTGTTGCTTCACACGTTTCACTCCAGTTCTCCAACACCTCTCCGTTCCCGAAGCCCACCACGTTCTGAATCACTGTCTCTCGGCATTGGGGTTTTCTCCAAAATTGGCATACGCCCCAGGCTTGTCACCAAATCCGGAGAATCACCTCAACTGATACATTGACGGATATGATATGAGAATTTCACACAAATCCCAGTTTCCATGGGGAAAACAACAACATGGATTTCTTCACGAAAGGGATATGCCCAAAATTTTATACTTTTGCTCAATGGAGCACCCAGAAACAAATCTGGTCATCCGTTGGCCAGGCAGCGGCCGCCTCAGTCTTCTCCCGCTTCACAGATGTTATGGAAGTCCTGGAAGCAGACGATATCTGCCTGCCTCGAGGCACGGTTCGATGGCAAATGCCCTGAGATTTGATGGTAAAACTGTGAACAAATAAATGCCTTGTTTTTTTTTTGGGTTGTTTTCGGGGTTTAATGAATGACAGGGAAGGGGTTGGAACATAAACCCAGTGTTGGGACATCCATTTTTCAGTGAGGTTTCGGCCTTCTCGAAGTCTCGAAGTCGAGCGAAATTTCGGCAGGCGTCCGTTGCGCATTGAGTGCCATTCAAGTCCGAGGGCAGAGAGATCAAGCTGGAGAGCTCAGTTGGGCCGTGGCAGTTCTGCTGGGATGAGCTCTGATCGCATGAAATGAGGATGTGGCTTTGCTCTTAGATGATGAGGCCCTACTGCACTTCTTGGAAAGAACCACAACTCATTGGTGCGAAACCATTCTGTGTTGCTTCATGTTTCGCCTATGTTTCAGCTGTGTTCTGTTCAGACCAAACAAAGCTGCATCTGGTTTCTCTTCGCAGTGTCTTTTCGACGACCACTATGCCATGAGCAGTGTCGCTGCAGCACTCCGAGAGGCAGGATCCCCGGGTACCATCCCACAGGAGGATTATTCCCCACCTGCCAGGTGAGGGTTGTTAGATTTTATGTCAGTTGCCTCCTCCTCCTCCTGCTCCTCCTCCTCCGCCTCCTCCTGCCTCGTCCTCCTCTCCTCCTCCTCCTCGTCCTCCTTGTCATCCTTGTCGTCCTTGTCGTCCTCGTCGTCCTCGTCGTCCTGGCTCAACTGCGACCCGCGATCCACAGTGTTCTCTGCCGGACCTCAACCACGACCACCCACGCCCAGTGTTCCCTGCCGGACCTCAACCACGACCATCCACGCCCAGTGTTCCCTGCCGGACCTCAACCACGACCATCCACGCCCAGTGTTCCCTGCCGGACCTCAACCGCGAGTATCCCCGCCCAGTGTTCCCTGCCGGACCTCAACCACGACCATCCACGCCCAGTGTTCCCTGCCGGACCTCAACCGCGAGTATCCACGCCAAAAGATATGCCACATAGAGTGCCAGAAGATATGCCAGATAGAATGTTAGAAGATATGCCAGATAGAATGCCAGAAGGTATGCCAGATAGAATGCCAGATAGAATGTCAGCTAGAATGCCAGAAGATATGCCAGATAAAGTGCCAGAATGTTTGCCAGATAGAATGCCAGCAGATTTGCCAGATAATATGCCAGAAGATATGCTAGATAGAATGCCAGATGGAATGCCAGAAGATTTGCCAGATAATATGCCAGAAGATATGCCAGATAGAATGCCAGATGGAATGCCAGAAGATATGCCAGAACATATGCCAGAAGATATGCCAGAAGATATGCCAGAACATCTGCCAGAAGATATGCCAGAACATCTGCCAGAAGATATGCCAGGCCAGAAGATATGCCAGGTAGAATGCCAGAAGATATGCCAGATAGAATGCCAGATCGAATGCCAGAAAATATGTCAGATAGAATGCCAGAAGATTTGCCAGTAACAAAATGTATAAATGTCATGGTGGGGATCACACGAAGTAAAGTATTTTTTTTTTGAGCTCATTTGGTTCTCATTTGGTTCTCATTTGGTTCTCATCTGGTTCCATGAATGAAGCTCTTCCACCCCTGCATCTTTCGAATCTCAGTCACCAGGACCGAAGTGGTTCCAAGAAGAAGCAAGACTGACCTGAGGAGCGCAGGCGAAAAAAAAGAAAAACAAGCTTCCTTTGCTGCCTTTGCCGCCTTTGCCACTCATGAGCAGTATTTGGAAGCGTCTTGTTACCTTTGGCTTTGCAGTGTCTTGTTGCATAGCAAAGGTACCTCCGAGGCACTGCACCTCCTGCGTAACCCTTTGGTCCAAGCATCCACCGTGCCTGCGTCTTGCCTTACATTGCCATGAGGAAGAGTGGAGAGCAGCTTGGTCCCAGAGAATTTCCCCAGTGGGTGCCTGTTGACGGGCAGTGAAACCAGAATGTGTATCCAATCTTAAGTGCTTTATAGTTTACCAGTAGTACCGAACAAGGCGGTGGCGGAAGTTTCAATGATAGGACGCTATAGGAGAGGTGAGTTGTTGTGATGCATGGATGGCAGAGCGAATCCGCTGATGGACCGAAAGGTGGTTGGAGTTGTGCTTTTTGGAGTGGTTGCAATGGTTGCAGTGGTCACCTCACCCACAACTGCTGGATGTAGTGTGGTGTAGTGCAGCTGTAGCTGTAGTTGTAGTGTAGCGCAGTTGTAGGTGTATGTAGTGTAATAAGTGTAGTGCAGTTGCAGTTGTGGTTGTGGTGTGGTGTATTGAGTGTAGTGTAATGTGATGTAGTGTAGTGTAGTGTGCTGTAGTGTTGTGTTCTGTACTATAGTCTATTGTAGTGTAGTCTAGTGTAGTGTAGTTGTAGTTGTAGCTGTAGTTGTAGCTGTAGTTAGTGTAGTGTAGCCTAGTGTAGTGGAATGAGTGTAGCGTAGTGTAACGCAGTGGTAGTTGTAGTTCTAGTTGTAGTTGTAGTGTAGTGTAACAAGTGCAGCGTAGCGTTGTGTAATGTAGTGTGGTTGCTGCTGTTTGTCTGTCTGTCTGTCTGTCTGTTTGTTTGTTTGTTTGTTTTGTTTGTTGTTGTTGTTGTTGTTGCAGTTGTTGTTGTTGTTGTTGCAGTTGTAGATATAGGGTTTTGCGTAAATAGTGTAGTGTACTGCAATTAGTGTAGTGTAGTGTAATTAGTGTAGTGTAGTGAAATTGGTGTAGTCTAGTGTAATTGGTGTAGTGTATTGTAATTAGCGTACTGTAGCGTAGCATATTTGCATTTGTATTTGTATTTGTGGTTGTAGTGGTAGTGTAGTTGTAGTTGTAGTTGCAGTTGCAGTTGCAGTTGTAGTTGTCTGTCCGTCTATCTATCTATCTATCGATCTATCTATCCATCCATCTATCTATCTATCAATCTATCTATCAATCTATCTGCAAGCTTGAAAACGAAGCTATTCTGCGAGACCTCCTCAATTTTTGAACTTGACAACATCCAAAACGAAGCAATTCTGCGAGACTTCCTTCAAAAATGGAAAGTTGAGTGCAGAGCTGACGGCCTCGTACCAGTGCGTTTTGCGATTTTTCCATTCCATCTGTGTAAAGTGCTGTGCCTGCCCCCAAAAAGTGATGCCAGGTCATACGAAGTGCTGCGCCTGTCCTGTCATGCAAAATCATCTCAGCAAACCTGAAGATCTGATGCTCCAAAATGCAGCCATTCTCCGGAAATCAGCGCCCTGACCTCCTAACATCTCTGATGAACATGTCTTTGTACCGCGCCTCCCACGCGAATTGCATCTTTGCAGATCCTCTTCAAATGTCCCACGCCTGCCATCCTTTTTGGAAATGCTACAAAACCCTCACGTTCTGCTCACTTTTGGCAGGGTGCAGAATCCCTTGCGCCTGCCACACAAAACGACGCTTCGACGTCCAAAAGTGGCGTGAACATTTTTTTTGCATTCTGACTTCGACATGTGCTGTGCGCCACAGCGTACACTTTTTGAACATCTCAACTTCCAAAAAGTGATCCGAACCCGTCAGTTTTTAACACTTTTGACTTCGAAATGTGCTTCGCGCCACAACGGAGTGCAATTTTTCATTTCTCATTTGCCCAGATGGCTCCGCACCCGCTTTAGCGAGCCTACTTTTCGACCCTTCGGAGCCACAAATCAGTGGAAAAACACAGTGAATCGCGACTTATCTACCTCTTTCGCGCACCTCTCTGATCTTCTTTGATCTTCTCTGATCTTCTTTGATCTTCTCTGATCTTCTTTGATCTTCTTTGACCTTCTTTGACCTTCTTTGATCGTCTCGTCTCGTCTCGTCTTGTCTCTTCTCTTCTCTTCGCTTCTCTTCTCTTCTCTCCTCTCCTCTTCTCTTCTCTTCTCTTCTCTCCTCTCCTCTCCTCATCTCTTCTCTTGTCTGACTCTGCCCAGCTCTGCTTTTCCATATGTCCATATTGTTGGAAGTTTGACTTCTAAACTTCCTTCGGCAAATCGTTACAATGTACCACTTCGGACGTTTCATGGAGAAACTCCCTGTTTCGGACGGTTTTTCAGTGGCATTAGCTCAGAAGTCTTAAGTCCAGTGGGCTCACCACCTGCCCACATCACCACCTCATATCACCGTGAGTAATTTCCGGATCAGAAACTATGGAGTCGAATCAGCGTCACCGGAATCAACATCCAAACGTCAGATCAGCGTCGCAGAATCAGCGTCAATGAAGATCCTGGATCAACATCGTGTATCAACGGTCGGGATGGTCGAGACGGTCGGGACTGTCGGGGTGGTCGGGATGGTCGGGACGAGGGTTTCTTTAGGGTTTCTTTTCGGGTTTCTTTATGCTTCTTTGGGGTTTCTCTCGGGTTTCCTTAGGGGTCCTTGACGTTTTTTGGGGTTTCTTTAGGGTTTCTTAAGAGTCGAGTTTCTTCAGGGACAGTTGGGATGGTCGGGATGGTCGGGGCGGTCGGGGTAGCTCGCAAAGTTGCAATGTATACGTCCTGATCCAAACCGTCCCGATCCAACCAATGTAGATTCCAATCCAGCCGCGCCGATCGAACCAATCTATAGATTCCGATCCAATGACCACGATCCAGCCAACACCCCAATCACCGTAACATCTTATTGCCACCGCCTTGCATGATCATCCCAGTGACTTTTCTATCTTGCTGTTCATGCTGCGCTTGGCTATTTTGCAGGTGCCGAGCTATTTTGTGCATTGGAACAGTCGCATCCAAGTTTCTACTGGGTGCGGTAGGGGCGGCAGCGTCAAAGTTGCAATGGCGATTTTCGGGTGAGCAGTTTCCTTTTGAAATCGTACTTCTTTCGCTTTGGCGCCGAGATTGGGTTTTGGAGCTGCAATTTCTGTTGCCGTTGCGCTTGATTCTATGGTGTTTTGCTGCTCAGTCTGTGCAGATCGCAGTGGAGTGGCTGCATTTCCTTGGTGCTGAGGCCGCAAGGGTAGAAATTACCAAAAGAAATCAACTCAATTTATTTCAATTTCGCATTGAGGAAATGTGAAGTGAGAAGAGAGTTGAGAAATGCGGGAAGAGATGAGAAGAGTTGAAAAAAGGTGGGAAGAACTGAAAAGAGGTGAGCAGAGCAAAGAAGATTTGTGAAGAGATGAGAAGAGTGAGAAGAGGTGAGAAGAGGTGGGAAGGGGTGAGAAGAGCTGAGAAGAGTTGAGCAGAGGTGAGAAGAGTTGAGAGGAGCTGAAGAGGTGAGGAGAGGTTGACAAGAGGTGAGCTGGGAAGAAAGTTGAGCACAGGTGGGAAGGGGCGAGAAGAGCTGACAAGAGTTGAGAAGAGTTGATCAGAGGCAAGGAGCGGTGAGAAGAGGTCAGGATGCGTCGGGAACAGGGATGAGAAGATATGAGGCATCAGCAATTCCTATACACAAACTTTCCCTTCGCTCTTATGGGAACAAAGCTTCCTGCTTCAAACTTCTGCCGCCTGCCTTGTGTTGGCTTTACTTGTAACCGGGGTATTTCAATGTCTTTCATACTACCCAGTCTTCACGACCTGAGGTCCGCTGTTTGCTTTGCACAAAGCGATTGGGAGGTTCACTTGGACCGCCTTCTTCAGCAGAACAATGAGAGGCGAAAGTCTTGCGAAAGTCTTGCAGCTTTGTTGTCCTTGGCTTTGTAGGTTTGTGGGGGGGTAGTAGAACGGGGAACTCCCAAAATCGGGCAATGCTAACAAGCGCAACATGTTCACAAACCTTTTTGTGTGTGGGGGACGAAATTTTGACCCATCTGCGTATCAGGTGTCTCATTAACTAGATTTTTTCTGCTGCACAAGGCTCATAGAAAGGCTTCACCAGTCCTTTGGACGAACAAGCCAGGAGCTCAGATGACAGCAATGTGGTAAACCCACAACCATCAACATCCAGCAACCATACCCTACGCGCTTCCCCAAATGACGCGCTATTCGGTAAAGAGGGAAATTGGGTGTAAAACGCAACAAAACTTTTTCCCGCATCAGGATCAGACGCCTGACAAGTTTGGACGCAAGAATTAGTGGTTAAACCATCAAAAATAGGTGGATTTAGTGGGAAACGAATCAATATATGGCAAAACAATGGCACGTCAAATTTCCCAAAACAACTTTTGAACATTTCTGAGCTATTCGCAATTCAATTTGTCCAAGAAGTCCGAATCTTCGCGACCGTTGGGGTTCCTAAGGTGTTGCAGACAAGCTCCTCACCAATGTGACCACCGACAGTGCAATGGATCCCTACAACAGAATCAGCACTGGGACACTATTGGGACCTATTGCCACCACCGGTGCTGTGACAAGTTTTTCAGAGTGGTCGTTGGGTGTTGTTCGGTGTACCAACGACAGGGGACTGGAAAATGTGATTGGTTAGTTGTTTGTATGTATGTATGTAATGTAATGTAATGCAATGCAATGCAATGCAATGTAATGTAATGTAATGTAATGTATGTATTCTTTTATTTATGTACGTATGTACGTATGTACGTATGTAGGTATGTACCTATGTACGTAGGTAGGTAGGTAGGTAGGTAGGTAGGTAGGTAGGTGTGTATGTAATTTATGTGATGAATGTAATCAATGTAACTAATGTATATGTTGTAATTAATGTAATCAATGTAATGATTCAATGTAATGTAATGTTATGTTATGTTATGTTATGTATGTATGTATGTAAATGTATCTATATGTATGTAAAATGTATGTATGTATGTATGTATTTATGTATTCATGTATGTATGTATGTAGTATGTAATGTATGTATGTAATGTATGTATGTAATGTATGTATGTAATGTATGTATGTAATGTATGTAATGCATGTAATGTAATGTATGTAATGTATGTAATGTATGTATTGTATGTACTGTATGTAGTAAGTTATGTAAATGTAATGTAATGTAACGTAACGTAACGTAACGTAATGTAATGTAATGTAATGTATGTATTGTATGTATTGTATGTTTGGTATGGTATGGTATGGTTTGGTATGTATTGTATTGTAATGTAATGTAATGTATGGTAATGTATGGTAATGTATGGTAATGTATGACAATGTTTGGCAATGTATCGTAATGTATGGTATGGTATGTATCGTTTGGTATGTATGTATGTATGTATGTATGTATGTATGTATGTGATGTAACGTAACGTAATGCAATGTAATGTAATGTATGTATATATGTAATGTATGTATGTAATGTAATGTAACGTAACGTAACGTAACGTAACGTAACGTCACAGACGTAACGTAATGTAATGTAATGTAATATAATGCAATGTAATGTAATGTAATGTATGTATTTTTGAAAATGTAATTATGTACGTATGTACGTATGTACGTATGTACGTAGGTAGGTAGGCAGGCAGGCAGGTAGGTAGATAGGTAGGTATGTATGTATGTATGTATCTAATGTATGTAATGCATGTAATGTATGTAATGTATGTAATGTATGTAATGTATGTAATGTATGTAATGTATGTAATGTATGTATGTATGTATGTAATGCAATGCAATGCAATGCAATGTAATGTAATGTAATGTACTGTAATGTAATGTAGTTAATGTATGTATGTATGTACGTACGTACGTATGTATGTTATGTTATGTTATGTCATATTATGTTATGTTATGTATGTATGTATGTAATGTAATGTAATGTATGTAATGTATGGTATGGTATATGTATGTATGCATGCATGCATGTATGTATGTATGTAGGTTTCTATCTATCTATATATCATGTACATTGGTATAGATGCTTGCTGCAGAGATGGACCTGTGCATGAAACTATTTGGGCACAAGGATCTGTTTCGTTTGCAATCGAACACATGCTCTCATCAAAAAATGCCAATCCCGTTGGCCCTGCCCTCAGGTCCCCGAGACTCTGGGGTGGTGTCTGAGTATGCGGAGTCTGTCTTCAATCCCCATGATTTCCCAGGTGGATCACGCAGGGCATCGAGGACTTCGGGGACGTCGACCAGGGGATCAAAAGAACGGAGGCAATCGATGAGTTCCATGACGTCCGAAGAGGAGTCCCAGCACGTCCGAAACCTCAAAAGCTCACAGATGGAAAAGAAAGACCGAGAAGGTTATTCTCGCAGATCCACCACTTCTATGGTCTCCAAGGAAACTTTATTGACCTACATCCGGAAGATCGTGTCATCATGGGCCTTTGAAGCTTTTTATGCCTTTGCGATCTTGTCCACCTCGATTTGCATTGGGATTGAAGTTCATTATGCAGCGCACAGCCGCGGCAAACCACTGCCGGCTGCTTTCTTTGTGATTGACCAAAGCTATGCATTTCTATTCTTCCTCGAACTCGTGCTCCGAATGCTAGCTGAGGGGAGGCCGTTCTTTTGGTCTTCACCAAACGTGGCATGGAATTACTTGGACATACTGATTAATATTACTTCGGTGCTGAATCTGGTGTCATTCTTGGGTGAGGACACTAGTAGGGGCACCTTCGATGCGTCTGGGAATGTTCGAGTCATTCGAATCCTGCGGCTTACTCGAGTTATACGTGTGGTTCGTATTGTGAAGATAGTTCGATTTATTCGAGCTTTGCGATCCCTGGTGTATTCGATCTTTGGGACCATGAAAGTCTTGCTGTGGTCTGTGCTGCTGCTCTTCATGATTATGTACCTGGGAAAAGTCAGGGGGGATTCCAGACGATGTTTGAAAATCAGCTGGCAAAACTTGTGTGGGGCAGTCATAGTTCTGAAGGAACATAGAGGTAACAGGTATCCACATTGATACCGTATATCAAGTGATATAGTAAATACATGCTATGTATGTATAGTCACAATAGCTAGCTTCTGCTAGCTGAAGTCTCTCTTGCTTTAGCAAGATATTGGCAGTGGCTGGAGTCGCCAATCACATGAATTTTCAAGAAGTTCCCTCCCCTCTCCCCCCTTCACCTGTTTTTTGGAAGCAGTTTTTCCCTGCCTCATCCCCCCTGGGACATAGTCGCCATATCATCGCAATCAGCATCATCAGGACCATCAGGTTTACTCTCCACTTCAAATTTCCCAATTCCTCCGACACCGTCTTTCACCACACTTCTCCCTTTGCCTTTTCAGCTCGCTTTCGTCATTTACCCTTGGCCTCATGTAAGCCAGGACATACACAGCTATAAACAGATAAATAATATGAACATACAGTACCTGCGAAAGGTCGCTTTCACGAATGGGTCCGTTTCTGGACCATCTCTTTTACTCCTAGAAAAGCAGAACAGTGGCAAGGTTAGACACTAACCAAGTAGCCGAAGTCAGCAACTAGCACGTTGTGCAGGTCAGTGCCATACAGGGGAATCAACCAATCGAGTCACCAGCCCAAGATGTTTTCAAGATTGCGGTGCAGGGCCAACAGCTTGGACATCTACAGTGGGCGATTTTCAATTTCTTTCACAGACTTGCAGCAGCCTCTCTGTTGGCGTGTCATCTTTCAATCCAAGCAGTCCACCTGCAAAATGAAAATTGAGCAAGATTGTCGCCTGGACCGCGGTTTTTGCGGAGCATCATGTTGGCAGCGCAGTGGCGACGCTGGAACTTTTGGAACTTCTTCCCGGGGGAAGGCACGAATTAGCTTGAAAACTCTTGGCTGGATATAGGCTTTGACGTAGACATTGCTTTGTGTTTCAGCACATTCAGCCCGGTCCGTTTCTCACAGCAACTGCGCTTGCAACACTGACTGCGCTGTGTTGCCTTGGCACGTGAGTTCAGCGGACCTTAGTGACACAGATTTTCATGTCCAGGGTACCTTGCAGGCACAAAGTTTTCATTTTCGCCAAACTCAAGAGGACCATACTTCTTACATGTCGATAGACGAAACCGGAAGAGGTTCAAGGCGCATGGAACGCGCGCCTTTGGAGCATGTGCCCTTTTTTCGGGCGCGAGTACGCGCAGGAGTTTTCTTGCGATGTCAAAAGATGGTTGCGCATCCAGCCTGATGGTTGGAGGTCGGGTGGCCCACTTCGTAGCTTGCCAGCCTTGGGGAAGTATGTGCTCCACATCGTCCATGGTTATCAGGGTAGACAAAAACCGGCGCGCCATGGAAAGAGCATCAGCAGGAAGATGAGGGTTGGGAGCCGGAGCGAGCAGCATGTCACCAGCGCAGGAAGACCGCCAGCCGATCGCGATGTCACACACCAATTTTGCCTTCGCACCCACCTTGTGCAAGATTGTCTGAGCAACGTTCTATATGCAGCCATCAAGAAAACACTAGAGGAGTGGTCATTGGCCCGCTTCTCCCATGCCGCGTGGAGTGCTTTGCCCAGTCGATAACACTCTGCACCTTCTTGATGGCTCCCAAGCTGGGAAGCTTGGGCAGCACTGTGACGCAGCAACTGCTGACTGCAGCCTCTTTGATTGAAGTGAGTTTTTCGATTTACTGCTCCCGGCATGTGGACAACATTGTTCTGCTTGCTTGTCTGCACGACTTGTGATTTTCTTGAATTTCCAACCTTGGCGCGCCCTGAGCAGTCATCGGCAGGAGCAGCAGCAAACATTGCACCCAAGCAGAAAGTTCGAGAGAGACATGAAAACCATAGAGTTTTGCCAGCAATGAGTGGTGGCGGGAAGAACCTGATGTCTCGACCAACCAACAATGACAGAATTGTTTTTATATACGACCAGGGCTGGTATACTAAGAGTCAGCCAAGCAGTCGAAAGTTCTTCCTTGCATCATGGAACCGAGAATCTCTGAGTAGACTATGAGACCGATCCTGATTCACTTGCAGATGCAAAATCTCACAGCTGCTGACAGCATTGTGGGAAACATTGTGCGCATTCGCACCCGGTTGCAGTTGGAGGAATTGCAGAGGTTCATTGGCGCTCATGCCCTGAATGGCGGCATGAGGTTGATTAGCTGTCTAAGCAAAAGACACACCTGGTGCTTTCCATGCCACCGCAGCCGCAACTTAACCGCACTCTTTTGGATGCAATCCAAGTTTGCAAAGCACACCCATCAAAAGAGTTGCCGTGCGGTTGCCTGCTGCCCCACATGTCTGGGCTTATTGTCAAAGCAGTGCCAAAAAAGATATTCCCAAGCCTGTGCTAGCAAGTGTTGCTAGCCTGGGTCCTGTCAAAATAGGCTAGATATCAGAAGCCAAGTGGTGGTGCGAAACAATGCAGAGCAAAGTTTTAGTGCACGCAGTGACTCAGCTTCCCATTGCAGCAACAGACCAGCTGGCGAACAAAAGCGGAAAAGAAGACGCTGTACCGAAACTTGTCGTGCACACAGACCAGACAATCCATTGGTTCCCAGCGGAAGGGAAAGGAACTGATGATGTTTATCACCCTCGCATATCCATTATTGCACAGTACCGGAAAGAAAGCCTGAAACTGAGGAAAAGTGGTCCAGATGATTTCAGGCTTTTCGTACCGCCACAAGGCACAGCCGCTGTGTGCAACAGCTCCAGCGGCTTGTGCCCCACTGGCTATCAATGAATGGCAGCAAGAGGAATTCCCCAAGAACCAAATATAGATGAGCCAGTGAAAGGGCAAATAAGCGTGCTGGTGGATCGAAGCTTAGTCCTGTCAAACTGGAATGCCCGCGCAAACATGGGAATACCGAGTCCCAGTGAGCACCAGAATGTATATCCACAAAGCGCCCCAAAAAGCTCGCGTTTATGCAAGGTCCTCGCAAGCAACGGAGAGATGATCTCCTTAAAGGGGCTTCCAAGAGCATCTTGCACGCCAGGATGCGCGGAAGAAATTCCAGGCCGAAAGCGTAGTTGTAGGCCTGCTACATGACATGGCTGCTGAAACGCAAATTGACCCAGTCACTCTTGAAGAGCGTTGCAAAAAACGAAGCAGTTTCAAAATCGGACAGGTTGGCGCCGACGTCAGTGTGGAGGCTAAGGAGATTGCGGGTATCGTTTCGCAGGTCAACATCTGAATAAGCACACGCAGTTTTTGGATCGCGACAGCGCAAAACGAAGTGTGCCCATCCTGCGCGCGCATATATATTCCAGCGCAATCGAAAACCCGAGCGCATCTCCCAGCGTTGTGCATCATTTGAAAGTGATCCTGTTTCGGGGGAGCCATTTGACCAGTTTCCAGCTTGATTCGAGACCGTTTTGAGAAAAGGAACATCGATAGGATAGAAAGAATGCATGCAGATTGGGCAATTTGTCAGAAGAAAGGAAAAGTGCTAATTGTGTGGAGCTGTGAAATTCAGAAAGACAGCGCTGAAATCTGGCAGTGCCACAGCCATGCGCCACAATTTTCGAAAGGTGTCCACTCAGTGGAACCAAATTCCCTGACTGGCCGTTGTGCCAAGCTGATATTTCTGCCCAAAAGCTGGCCGGAGCCGGTCAACCAACCAAGCGAGTCAGAGGATCTCACAATGAATCGGGAAACAGAAGTTCCACCAAGAGGATCAAATTTCCAGAATGTAGGAGGCGGGCTGCTAAAGGATGCTTTCCACATAGCAGCGCTGCCAAAATGGCCCGGCTGGTGCAACAGGGCGGTGAGCCATATCCGGGGCATACCGGGACACTCGTCGCAGCGCAATGACCTGGTCGCCCAATTTTTTCAACTTGCCAATGGAATATGAATATAAAGTATTGTCGGAAACGGATTTTGACTCATCTTGGAATTTTCATGTCGGATTTTCTATCACCACACGACATGTTGCAGGGGTGCCCGGCTGCTGGCGAGCCGTTGCGAAGTTCGGGGGTGGCTGCGCGTTTTTTTTGGCAAGATTGCCCCTTGAGTACCAGCGAGCGAGCTGGCAGCTTTCATACAGGCTGCACGCATCGTGGTTACAGAATCTACCACGCGTAACAACCAAAAAAAAACCACCAGACCCAGTGGTGGAGCAACAACTTTGATCTCCAGACAATTGTATCTGGCAATTGATAAATTTGCATCGTAGATCCATTGGCGGCCATCAGCTTCTATGGGCTACCTCGTGATCAACAGGAGCAGACCTTATCCAGTCTTGAAGCCATCGAAGCTCTCAAGCTCGCCAATTTGCAGTGGACAAAGTGGTGGCTGGAGATGGATACTTGTCTTGCCTGCAAGAGAAAAGACGCCTGGCACAATAGTCAAGAGACAGCAGAAGCTTGCCGGCTGAAACTTTGGGCGCATGTACTTTATGCGGCATTTGCAAGCAGAAGAAACCATTGCTACGCTCCAAGCTGGCCTGGTGCATCCGCAGGGCCACCTAGCGGCTGCAATCAGAAGGGGTCAGGAAGATGCCCCATCACTTGTGCCTCAGCAGCAGTCTTCTAGCTCACCGTGACTATTGCAAAGAAATTTTTACCACCTGGGAGTGTCCAGGTCTTCCACGAGATGATGTTCAGAGCCCCTTGCAACCATCAGATTCTCTTGGCTGGAGATTTGGCTGGCCTCGTAGAAGCAATGTGAGGATGACACTAACATATCGTCACTTCGTTGGTCCAACATGGGTTGGCTCCAGATGCACCGGCTTAAACCACAGACTCATGCAAACTTGAGAATTGATGACTTAGTCTTAGTCTTGGAACCTTAGAACTCCATGTTTCAGCATCATTTTCCCTCCAACTGGCCAATTTTTTGTGGGACCTGGACCAGACACGAAAACCATTGAGCCGCAGCAGCATTCTGGAGTGCAACAGCTGTCCGGAAATTGGGTTTGCGCCGCAGTGCTCAGT